CCAATTAAGAGTGAAGAATAAATAACTTTCATAAATAAATGCCATGCACTATGTTGGTGCATGGAAGCTTCTTTTTAGAAGCCAGAGAGAGTTACCTTAAATTGGTCCATGAGTCTCACTTGGCACTTAACAAAGTTAACAAAACAACTGTTAGCAGGAAAGGAAAAATAGTTATTCTTAATAGAGCTGAATATCATTTTACAAGGGGTCTACCACAAGTTGGTGGTTCGCTCTCTCCTATGCATCTGTGAAGAGGACTTGGTCCCACAGTAATTTGTTTTCTCCCACAGCTTTCTGTGTGTCCAGAGGGGAAAATTCTAGGTATCCTGGTGGCCACTGCCACCCACACTAGTAGTCTTGAAACGAAGACTAGGTGAAAGACATAGAAGTATATAGAAAAGTATTCAGTGAATGTAGGAGAACAGAAATAGAACATATTTTTTTTTTGGTGAAAAATACAAATTATGCTCAAGAAATCTTCTAGGTATAGACTAAATGGGATGGCAACCCAACAATATTCTCCATGCTTCATGCAGAATAGAGAAAACCCGTCTTTTGATTAAGCAAGGGTTTAGTTTTTCCCTTTACTTGCCCACTTAAGGGGAACAGAAAGTTTTTTCTCCCCCAAAATATCTCCCTACCTCTCCAGTGTGAAAATTCTTGAAAATATTATACAGCCATTTTTCAAGTTAGGCAATTCTCTCACCCGTTAAATCATTCACATTTTAGTGTGAATGAATTAATCAGGTGACTCCTTCTCCAGGGCAGGAGGAATCACCAAGTTCACTAGGAAAGTGAGAGAAAGTAGGTTTTTCTATCTTTAGGCCAAGTTTACAGAAGGTGGGCCGGGCATCATTTCCTGCTGCCTTGAAAAAAAACGCCACATTTCAAAGGGCTTTTTCCCATGCATCATTCAATAAAGTGGAAGACTAAGCAAGCACTCCATACATAACTCCCATTACTCAACAGTTAAACTGAAGTCATTATTTAAATTAATGCATTCTTCAGGGCAGGTGGAGAGCATGCATTGTATTTTTAAGGACACTTCACAAAACCTCCCTAAGCAATATGGTCCTTAGGACAGAGGTAAATTTGGTTCTTGGTTTCCTTAAACACTCTCTCTTGCATGCATACATTTGAAAACACAAGTCTGTGCCTCATTCAAATTGAATAGAACTGAATGAAGCACCTGGTTGAGCTGATTTATGTGATAATATCTGTAGTTAGTTCCCTCCCCATCTCCCTCCCCTGGAATCCTTGTATTAGCTTTGCCTTACTGAGGGGACGTCGCTAAGATAGCTACCAGAGAATGGGATTCTCGGCAGAGTAGTTCATGACGGTCTACTTGTGCGTCATCACCAAAGTGGAAAAGAGGCCATTCTTGTGGGCGAGCAAGTTTGGAACAGTATCACACTCCACTAAAATACCCTCAGAAAAGACTAAAACAAGGCCTGCATCCAAAATGGAAGAGACACGGTGCTGGAGAGAAAAGAAAAATGGAAGGAAAAGAAGAGAATCAGCAAGAGGGAAAACGTCCAGGCGCAAAACAGTTTTTGTTAAACAAGGAACCTAAATGTGAGCAAGACTCCATCCATCTGCAAAGAGTAAGAGAGAAAACCAAGGCCTGTTCTAAGTAAGCTATAACATGGATTACAAAGATTTAAGCAATTCTCAATTTGACTGGTGCTCAGAGAAAATAGTTGCCTCAGCTGGGAGGTATCTTATTGCCTTCTTTTTTAAAACAGTTAAGTGAATAGAAACATAGAAATTAAGTGTAAATAGTAGCAGAAATGGCAGTCAAATTTAAGAATTTTGCTTCAGAAACTGCTCATCAGACCATCAGATTATTGAAAAGAGAATTATCCCACACAAGCTACCATCTTGGAGCTGGTGAAAAAGCTGTAACCTTACATGTAGAATGTCTTATCATTATAACTTAGGGGATATGGATATAGCAGGCAGTTTGGAAAAAAACAGTGTAAAGGCTTTCAGAGCACGGCAGGTTTGTTGTTGTTGTTTTTCTTCTTTTTTTGCACAGATGTAGAAACATTAGCAGAGAAATATTCAGAAATTAGAAAAATAGCAGAGTAATTCAGCATAAGCAGATTTTAATTGCTGAAAAATAAAGATTATTGAATCTTGGAACAAAAACCAAAAAGGAATAAATTAACTTCATCTCCCATACTTACAGCTATTGTAACAACGGTGCGGTCTGCAAAAGCTGTCATTACCACTTTCTGCAAAATGTTTTCCTGCCAAAAAATAAACAAAGTCTGAATTTTCTTTCTTGTCCCCAGTATGCCCAAGCCCTTCTGAAAACTCCCACTAAGTCTTCTGCAGAAGGCACAGCAGGGAGCAGGCCCCAGTAGCAAGCTCACGCTGGGTTAACTCCCAATAGTAAAAAGCCTTAGTAATTAATAACACTCATTTTTATGTAGTCATGCTTATTTTGTGAAATGGCTTGATTGGAAACTATTTTATTGCTTTAAATTATGTTAACCTTGAGAATGATATACTGTAACTTTGTACAAGTACTTTAATAGATCAGTCTTAATAGACAGAAATGATGTCGAATTAGCATCTCCATATATAACTGCTCTTTAACTTTGAAACTGTTTTACTTTTATGGGTAGTTTTACCCAATCTAAAGTGTACAGCAAGAAAATAACATAAGGCTGCAGATATTTTTTATTTTTGTCCTTTCTGATGCTAAACTTTTAATATCAAATTAACATTTATAAGAACATTAATTGCTAGGTCATACAGTTTGAGATTTAAGGTGACTTTTCTCCCCTCAATCATAGCCTAGAAAGATACTTCTTGGGCATATTTCATGTTTTTAAATAATTTCTTTCAAAAGGCAAAATTTCTGGTTTATACCATAAACATATTGAAAAGGACATTATTAATTCTAGCCATTACTAATTCTAGTGAATCCTTCTTCGAACTGTTTTAAAAAATAATGATTGGTTTTGGTTATCAATAGATTCTATTAAATAAAGACTTGCATACTTCATTTTAGAATTTCCATGATAATATTTGAATACTTGAATACAGTATAGTATTCTCATCAACTGAGCCCTGGAATTTTACTGCTTCGAGAATTGAACAAACAGTGATGGCAAATTTATGTTTATTGGCAATAGGAACACCTTTAAAACTGGTGTCCCATCTCCTTTATTGTAATTATCAGTGTGCTATCATCAGTTGATCAAGCGGGTGAATGAGATGGCACTCAAAATAATAGTACTGAGGATTCAGAACCCAATTGGGAAAAATAAATGGTAGTTTTCATGTACATTTCTCCAACTTATCAATTTAAAAAGCTTAGATAGCACTCTCACCGTGGCCATATCAATGGAAGCCGTCGCCTCATCCATGATGAGAATGCTTGTCTTGCGGACAAAGGCCCTTGCCAGGCAAAACAGCTGCCTTTGTCCAACACTAAAATTCTCCCCACCTTCGGTGACAACTGCATCTGAATCACAGGAAGAAGCAAGGATTTCATTAACAAAACGCTGCTAACATTTCCCCTGGGCAAAGTCGTGAAAAACGCATTGTGTTTTAAAGAGCACGCTGGATGTCACTCTATGGATGCAAGGATTTCCTGTGTGAAAAGTGAAGAGGAATTTTACTTTGGAAAAATTACTATGATCCTGGGCCATACTATTTTTGACAGTAGATGGTAGGTGACCTCTGCAGAGTAGAACATAAAATACTGTTAAACATTTTGAAGACTGGAAGGCCTCGGAGATTATTTAATTATGTAATATAATTATTTAAGGAGATTATTTAATATAATTATCTAAGGCCTGGAGAGAGAAAATGGATTGCTCAAGATCACACAGATAAGTTAAAGTAGACCTTGGCAAGAAACAATATTCTCAACTCCAATACCCATTTCTTTTTCCATTATACCATCATTGGCTATAAGCTCTAAGTGGATAAGGACTGGGTTTGCTTTTGTTCATCAATGTGTCCTCAACACTCACAATGGTATCTGACATAGTGGCTGAATAAAACATTTTTGTTTAGATAAATGAATGTTATATCCTCATTATTTTTCCTTTTTCTTTTTTTTGTTACTATTCACATTTCATAAAATTGTGAGTTTGTGACTTTAAGATCAATGCCGTTTCCAAAGTGTCTCTTTTATTAGAATTCAAACACTTTTTGTTGTTTGTAGGGTTGTGTGTAGGTAGGGGTAATTTCTATTGATTATATTCTCATTCAGCAAATTTTTATAATTTGTCATGCTTGGGGGCTATGCATTTATTCTCTAAATTTTAATTTACATAAAAAATAAAGAGGATGCTGGAAATGATGAATGTTCTTCACCAGAGCGGGCCTGGACGCTTTATCAAGCAATTGATGTATTCTTCATTAAGGAATGAGCATAAACAGCATTCAATTATATAGTGTAAATACAATCCCCTATTACTTACACTGTACCATAACCCCATGCACATGATTCAAACCAGGTGCATGCAGCTCTCGTGTTAGTGAAGAGGACTATAAAGATGTAATTGCGGGCCGGCCAGGTGGCACATTGGTTAAGAGCTGGCTTGGGATGCCAGCTCTGAGCAGCAAGGCGCTGGTTCAGATCCCACCTGAGAGCCAGTGACACTGCCCTCTACAGCTAAGATGGAGAACAACAGCTCAACCTGGAGCTGGGCTGCCATGAGTCGCCCGCAATGGCATAGGCTGCAGCCCCTGCTGCAGTGGGCTGCCATAAGCTACCGTGAGTGGCCGGCAGCCAGCATGAGCTGCCAAGAGCCATCATGAGCGGCCGTCCAGTGGCCAATGACTGATCTGTCTCACGGGAAGAGCGCAATGATCACAATACCAACATGGACCAGTGAAGCGACGTCCTCCACAACTAGACTGAAGAACAAAAGGACAGCAACTTGTCTGTTCCGCTTTCCCGATTCCCCAGCGCTGTTCCCCTTCCCTAACTCCCCAATAAAATCTTAAAAAAAAAGAAAGATGTAATTGCCTGTCTTTCTGACTATTAATGCCAAGGGGAATGGTCTCTAAATACCAAGGGAGAAGGGTCTATAAACTATCAATTTCCCCAGTGGACTTGCTGGGCTTTCCAGATAAGATATCAAAATTATTATGGGAAAGTTCATGCAGGCCCCTGGAATTACTCCCATAGTCTGACACTGGTCACGTCAATGAAAACATTTTTAGAAACATGCTGTCTCAATTTTTATTTGTAGGATGTTTATTCCTTGGGACTTATAATCACAAAAGGTATTGTTTTTGACTAGGTCCTCCTTCTCAAATAAACTAACAAACAAACATAGTTTTATTTTATAGGTTGATTTTTAAAAAAACTAAATGCCAAAACAACACAATCAATTTGGCAACTTCATATTTTGTATTAAAATTAGAATATCAACCAACTTTTATCTTTCTGATTGCTTTCTTAAGTAAGTCCAGATGTGAAGGAAGCACAAGTCCAAAATTATAGATGTTCATTTGCATAAATTAAAGATTATCTCATGAACTCTCTGTTATTTCATTAATCACGTTGTTCTTTTGTTCTGTCATCAGTTATTTGCCAGAAATTGTACTACCCTCTGGGGCCAGAGGTATTACAATCTCTTTATATCAGAGATTGTTTGAGTACATGTTTCATTCCTTACACAAGTGACCAAAACTGATACTGCAGCAAGGTAATAAAAAAAATAATGTCTTCAAAATAATTATATTGTATAATAGGAATATGCCCTCTTGGCAGCCAAGAAAATGGTGAGGAAAATGCTTGCTCCTAGCAGTTCGAATCCCTTTGAACCTCAGTCTCTTTTGTTCTTTTATCCATTTACTGAGGGTAAGTGATCATTGTGTAAATCACGTGAGCAGAATGGCCACAAGGAAATATTCCTTTTTTTTTTTAGCTGAGCCATCCTGCCACCTGTTGGCAGCTCAGTGGCAGCTCAGCTGGGCCGGGATTCGAACTGCTGTTGCTCAGAGCTTGCACTCTTGAGCAAGCTCTTAACCAACTGAGCCACTCGGCCAGCCCAACAAGGAAATATTCTGGTTAAAGTGACCTGTGCCCACCAATGGTGAAAAGGCAATAAATGTATTAAATGGAATACTTTGGAGTATTCACATGGAACAGAATGGTATCAGGCTCATCCTCCTGCACCCCATGTAAAATCATTGAATTCTGAATTGTTCTAATGACCCTTAGAAGGTTATTATAAGGGGATTTGACTCTAGAGTTATGTGATTCTAGCATAAAACATAGCTAGAGATATGTAGAATTAATTGCATATGTAAAAAAATATGTATATAATTTAGAAAATTTACCTAGACCTCCTGGTAGGGATTTGACCATATTCTTCAACTGAGCAATTTCTAGAGCTTCCCAGAGTCTGTCATCTGTGCATTTGCACTCTGGATCTAAATTAAATCTATAGGGGGGAAAAATCAGTTAATTAGTTAATAAATAAAAATAAAGAAATGTTTATGTATGTTTGTATATTGCGTTCTTTCCTTAAAATGTAAATCCCATTTGTTTTGGTTACTATTGTACCTTCAGTACTCAAAACAGTGCTTAGGATAGGGTAGGCATTCGGTTTATGTTTGATGAATGAATGAATGACCCTAATGTGATAAAAAATGGTTTTTGATGATGTAATTAGTAAGTTTATATGCATGATAAGATATAATAAAATTCATTATTTGGATTCATCCACTTTAATATTATGTTTAATATAACTTGAATAGTGTCTAGCAAAATATTCCTACAGAACTCATGTTAAATACATAAGTCTATACAGGAACATATAAAGCTAGTTTAGATGAGCTGTGCTGCAAAAACCACAATAGTAGTAGTATATTTATTATATTTATAGACATAAATTTACTATAGTATTGTTAATAACTCGATATATCCACAATGTTTAATTAATGTTAAGTTGAATATTGTGTAATCTTACATACATTTTCTCTTCAAGACAAGAGGCGATTAGTAAAACAAGGTGGAAAATAATTCTTTGTAATTAAGTGGCTGGAGGAGAGGAGCAAAAGAGAACAAAAGATGGATGAAATGAGAGATATGATCTTGTGGATGATGCCAGGATGGACTTTGGAGTCAAACAAGCTTTGGTTGAAATCACAGTTCTATCACTTACTAAGTGTATGAACTTGGGCAAGTTACAGCTTCTCTGAGGTTGAAAATCCTCACCTGTAAAATGGGGATAATAATATCTAGGCTGGAGTACTACTCTGAGGATTTAATGAAACAATATATTTAAAGCACCTAGCAGAGAATAGATACCTCCATCATTTTTTTTCCCCTCCATGGGTAACCACAAACCATACATAAAGAAAGCTGTAGCAGCTTCTTTTAAAAGCAATTTTAGCTGCAAGAAAAGTGGTGAGGGATGGGAGGAATGAAGGTACTAACCAGATCCAATATCTGCTAAGGCCAGGCCAGACACACAAGAGATAGGCAGGGTATCTGTAGGGTGGAACACCTAGGAAACATCTGCCAAGAATCACTGCCCCTGGGGCTGGCCGAGTGGCTCAGTTGGTTAAGAGCTAGCGCTCTGAGCAACAGTGGTTCAATTCCTAGCCCGAGCTGAGCTGCTGCTGAGCTGCCAACAGGTGGCAGGATGGCTCAGCTAAAAAAAAAAAAAAATCACTGCTCCCAAGTACGGAGGAAAAGTGACCTTTGTAAAATCAAACAGAAAGAGTTTCCAGGGACATACAGGATTGTCTTCTATAGGTTAATTTAGCAAGTCTAGTGTTCCCCAATCCAAACTGTTGGATAGAACATTTGATCTTATTATCCCGATAATGTCATTTCACTCCTACCTGTAAAGCAATTCTGAGCAAAACCGTCCTATGCGCCAAACGCACTCAGGTTTCTGTTGAAAGTGTCACTTACCTAATAGAACCACTGAATAGTATTGGATCTTGGAGAATGATTGAAAGCCTAGAACGTAGTGTGTGCAGTGGTAGTTTTGAAATGTCTATCCCATCAATGACAATCTTTCCTGTTAAAGAAAAACAAAAATGACAGGCATGTAGCAAAATCACAAGTCAAATAATATTTGTTTACTAATTGAAAATATTTTCCTAGTTCAGGGTTTAAATTCAGAAAACAAGGCTTTGCATTTAGGAATCAAAAAGTCATGATTTGTCTCTAAAAAAAATATACATTTCAGTGATATTTCCTCTTTCTTAAGTATTTTCACCTAAAGGGATTTTTCTGGTTTTATTCAGTTTATGTGGTTCATACAAACCCAAAGTACTAATTTTTTTCCCTTAGTGGGTCATCCTCCTCCCAGTATTCCTTTATCCTGGTTCCCTGCTTTATTTTCCTTCATAGGGCATTCTATATACATTTACTGATCCTGATCTTTTTTATTCATTCTCTCTCTCTCTCCCCTTCCCACCCCCAAACTAGAATATAAGCTCCTTGAAGACAGGGATTTTTTTCTGTCTTATTTCCTCTCCTCTTGTATTGATTGAAGGGTACAATGCATTAGGAATAAGAAAGTAAATTCTATGACACAGACATCAAATTTTAATGAATTTCTTCATAGTGTACATAGACTTGTAGAGACTTGTGCAATCATGATGTCCTTGCCTCAACTTGATTTATTTTATCATATCACTTTGTGCAAAAACAATATGGCCCTATGAGATGAGTGTGTCAGGTGAAGAATGGCAACTGGAGTCCCGTTTTCTAGCTGGCTTTAGATTCAACAACAGGAAAAGGGATGAGTTTAAATTTTCTTTCAGGAATAATATATTATCTATTAAAATCTTAATAGCTTAATACTATTAAAAAGAGAATAAGTCGTTGACAGTGCGTATGGGACATGACATGTTTCCAGATTCATGAGGATCAGGCTAATTCAGCGGTTCTCACCCTGTGGGTCACGACCCCTTTGGGGGTCGAACGACCCTTTCACAGGGGTCACCTAAGACCATCGGAAAACAAAAAGATATTTACATTACAATTCATAACAGTAGCAAAACTACAGTTATAGAGTAGCAACGAAAATGATTTTATGGTTGGGGGTCACCACAACATGAGGAACTGTATTAAGGGGTTGCAGCATTAGGAAGGTTGAGAACCGCTGGTAATGTGTTCAGTCATAACCATAGTTCTTACAAGAGAAATGTTTATTAATTATCTTTGGATCATGTAATTGACTTATAATGCAAGTCTCTACTGAAAATCCTTAAAGCATCTGTGTATTATTACTAGCCATAGAAAGAGCAAGCTGATAACCCAGAGGCAGGAAACTACCCCGTTCCTGAATCTATACCCCAAAGCAAGTGCAATTACCACAGTTCAAGTTTGTGTTTGGAAACTGACATCTTATCTCACAGAGTTGCTGTGTAGATTAAATTAAATAATATCAACTGTCAAGTACTATCATCATCATCATCATCATCATCATCATTACAGATAATAGTAAGCACTTCTTTGAGCTGATGGTCAAGTGCATTGCTGGATGCTCTTTTATTCAAGATGAATTATGTGCTGGCCTATTTATAGGCCACTTGATAGACTAAATAATGTGACATTTTTAAAGTAGAGATTAAATTATTCCTATGTATCATTATGAATAATTTTGCCAATGAATATTTGTGTATATTGTCAACATGTGCTTGGCACTTTACAGCAAAGATTGACTCCTCATAAAATGTTCAATACCATTAAACAATGTTATTAAGAAGATGATGGTTAGAGTCATGCACCAAAATTAAAAATGCAAATGACTTATCTCCTTGTATTTATTTTCCTTTGATAGAAAGAGATGCATTTTTAGTCTGTGGGAAATAAGATGGTCTTCCTCTCTCTCCCTTCCTCTTGAAATGCCACCATCAATTACTGCTATTAAAAATGGTAGCCTTATTTCCATCTTACCAGTTTATTGGAATTCTTTAACAACCACCTCTAGAACTACATTTGGGGCTTCCAAATGTAATAATTTTCATGAAATAATTATTTCATTCCAAAATAATTTTGACTTCCCCCAATTCTATGTTTTTTTCTTTACTTCTGGACTGTTTATATGGGATACCTGTCTCAGCCCATGGGTTGTAGGACACAAAGTCTTTATAAATATTTGCTTTTTATTTCTACAGGACTAGATAAGATGCTGCTGCATTTTTTAAAAGGGAACGCTTCACATGGTCAATGAAAAAATGTAGTTAGTACCTTACCGTCAAATATATCAACCATTCTGAAGAAAGCCAGAGATAATGATGACTTCCCACTGCCAGTACGACCACATATGCCCACCTAAAAATGCAACTGTCACTCAGAGAGAAGGGGACTCAGACAAATCAATAGAAAATGAGCAAAAGTACTTTTAACTTAGACAACATACCCCAGTGAAACCAAAATTCTATTTAAATACTTACATTAACATCACCATTCTCTTTCCAGATCTCCCTTATTAATAATCATTATTAAGATAAAAACATAGGGTCCTTACCAAATCTTCAGTGATTCCATTCTAATTCTTTTTATTTCTATGACTGTGTTGTTTTTCCTTTGTGGCTTAACTTTTACATGTAGTGTATTGTCTATGTAGTAAATATTTCATTTTATCTTAGAAGTGACGATTTTATAAGGAAGAGTACAATGATTTTTTTTTCTTGCACACTTGCTCTTTTTTAAATAACTAAAATAAATCATTTTGGGACTAGAGCTAGTACAAATGCAAAAGTTCTCAAGGTGATGTCTAGTATGGCTATGAGCCAAGAGCCAGAAATTTTGAGAAACAAGTCTATTGTTGACTTCCCTGATTTTCATGGGAGCATAATGAATGCCAGTATGACTTAGGAAACATGTATTTTATTCTGATCCTCTCTCTCTCTTTTTTCTTTCATGTAGATAATTTGACCTGTAAAGGGTAGGAAATGTTATATGAGTCCTGTGAAAATATACTTGGCTGGAATGTCTCAAGAGCTTCGGTGGTAATAGAGTGGTTTCATCAGAAGATTTGTATGAAATAACTGAAATGGCAGTGAATTCCATACCTTTTGCCCAGGTTTGATGTAAGCTTTGACGTGTTTAAGAACAGGCTTCAGATTATTTTCATATCTGACACACAGATCATGAATCTTGATCTCCCCTTCCTGTGGCCAATGTTCTGGAACTTGAGAAGGATCTGGGGGGTGAGGATAGAGTAGGGAAAGACAGAGGGCAGGGGACAACACACGTATATACATTTATACGCACAAACTTACCAATTATTTTATGAATTTAAAGTAACACTGATTGAAATTCTGTGGGCTTTTTTCAAAATTAAAATTACATTTAGAAGAGAGGCCTCTTGATTAACAACTTTAAAAATCATGGGGGTTTTTTTGTTTGTTTTTTGGGAGCATTCAACAGCATTATGTCTCTTTAGCATTCCATCACTCCATTCTATTCAAGAGAGTTCATTTGTGAATTGATTCATTTGTTCAGTCAGTTGGTCATCAAAGATTTGAGTACTTAAAATGTGAGGGGTATTGTGCAAGGTGTTGGGAATATGGAAATGAAAGACATGGCTCAGGGCGTCCCAGGGGAAGCATACAAGCAAGTCAGCATCTACAGTATTGCAGAGAGTCACATGAGGGAGGCCAGCCCAGTGTTCTGGGAGCACAGAAGGTGGTAACCCATCCAGGAGGGTTTCAAGAGGAGATGGTGCCTGAGATGAATCATAAAGGATAAGGGATGGGGAAATTTGTTTCAAATATATATATTTGAAACAAATTTTCATATATATATGAAAATAAAAAAAAAGCACAGCCTGTTGGCATGGCCAGAGTACAAGGAGTATGAGTGGATGATGGGAGATAAGGTAGGTGGGCAAGGGTTGACCAGTGATGGGTCTAGTGGTCTTCAGTAAATTATATGGATTGTCCTTAAAGACCTGGATAGCTATTGGAGGATTTAGGAAAGGGAATGCATTTTAAGGATGAGGTTTACTTTAAAGAAAGATTATTCTGTCCTCAGTATTTCATTTCTTGGCAATTTAATTCCCACAAAGCTGAGAATCTCAGTCAGTATTTTAAGATCCAAGTGTCTTGATTTCTAAGTTAATAATGTCTTGAGAAAGAAAATACAAATACAATTGTTCCTAGTTTGAGCTGGTAATTAATGTAGTAAAGTCCACGTATTTTTACAATTCTTTTTAAATGACTAAATAATATCTTTTTGGGCTCTGTTGTATCTAAGACTTTTCAGGCCTAAAAGGTCTTATCATCTTAGGTGTACCAAATCAAAGTCAAGATAAGAGGGGATTCTCTGGACGTTGAAGTGGAAAACAAAAGCAAAAAGGACAATGTATCTCATGCACAGCTAATATTTGAATTAAAATACATATTTGAGTGAAACAAAATAATATTCTGAGCAATACCCATGGTGCCTTCATAGTTCTCAGACTCCATAGTCAAGAAACTGTTCACTTTCTTCACTGCCCCCATCTGGACCTCCAGGTCAGCCAAGTTCCTCACGACCCAATTCAAATAATTGGTTATCTGTGTCAGGTAGGAAGGCAGGAAGGCAGGAAGGCAGGAAGGCAGGAAGGCAGGAAGGCAGGAAGGAAGGAAGGAAGGAAGGAAGGAAGGAAGGGGAAACAAACAAACAAAAAAAGGAAAAAAAATTACATTAATTACATTTAAAATGAAGTATACATTTTTGCAGTCACTGGATATTTGGAGATAGAATGATGCAGGCAGTTTGTGTACATCCTGTGGTACAATTCCTAAGTGCTGCAGGATATCAGAGGCCAGAGAGGATGCCATGGGATAAAATGGGCAAGGAAGGTGTCTGCTCTTCTTCAAGGGTCCTCAAATGTCACTGTTTTGTGAAGTCCTGATTTGCCTACACTACACAATGGGTAGTGGTATGTACCTCTGTTAGCACTTATCTCATTTATACTCACCTTCATTTTAGTGTCCCCAAATGGGTTGTGAGAAACTCAGGACAAGGGCCCCAAAGAGCCTTGGGGGTGCTCTGACTACAGGGTTTGAGTAGTTTCTAAAAATTAGTTCACAATATCAGAAACAAATCCATGCTGTCCTAAAACGGTGGTTTGGGCCCAAATCTATTAATATTATTTTCAAGATGTCATCTTGCTATGAATTTCAAATTTATCCTCTAACATCCATGAATAAGAGTTTATAATAACTATGCAAAGCACTCCAACATGGCACAGAAAGAGAGATTTTCGTCCATACCTACCGTAAGTGCATACAGAAGACCTAAGCCCACCAATCCGGAACTGGAAGACCCACTAATGGATGCAATAGATGCAGTGAGCACAATGCAAGCTCCCAGATAATCCTAGAAAGGAGCAAGAAAAAAAATGTTAAAATATTTTTCCCAAGTTCTTAAACCAAAAATCCCAATCAACTTAGGTGATTGCTAAGAGGACGCATGTCATTCCTTGTGTGTCCTGTTAAGGGAAAGGCTACCCAAGTGATGAAAACTTGCAACTCAGAATATTCAGGCTGCAGTAGATAAAGATGGAAGAGAACAGAATATGCCATCCCGAAGCATGCCTCTTTGGCATAAGGATTACTTTGAGCAGATAATTTTTAGAAACAGCAGACATAGGAGAAGCTGGGAAAACAGAGAAACTGCCCTTTTGTAAGGGTAATTTATATTTATCAAATAAATCCATTCATAAGTGTATCTCCCTCTCTGGACAAGGAAGAGAAGGATGCCTGAAACATCAGAAATTCTTATCCGTGAAGAAGGTACTGACTTAGCATTACATAATAAACCTTACTCGTTTTTATCTTCCTTTTCCCTGGTCTCCTCCCCATAACTGGTTTCCTCTACACCCTTCATGGGGTTTTTTTTGTGTGTTTCAGGTTAAGATGGTATTTCAGCCCAAATTCTAAGCCACCTCCTTGGATGACTTTTTTCCCTGGGTATCTACCATGTATGAGATAATATACATGATAATGAACATGTTTGTTTTATCTCATTTAAAAAATATACTCAGGCTGAAATGGGAGGGATGCAATATTTTCATTATGTCCATGCAGATATAGGATCAGAGAAGTTAAATACCTTGCCAGAAATTAAGCTGCAATTTGTTGCGCAACTAGGATATCAGACATAGGGGTTTCCTTTTTTTTTTTTTCCCCTTTCTACTTCCTTGCAATCCAGACAAGCAATTAAAGCAATTATTTTTGGACTTTATTTTCTACCTTAAATTTCACATGTGTTTATGTCAGGGTTGTGATTCAGCTCCCTTGTGTGCTAAGGCCCCTGCAGAAATTTGCCTCTGGTTAACTTGTTGGAATTTTTATCTGAATTTTTTGTCAATGATCTGGGTTTAGGGTCTGGGACATTAAATCTCCAGATTCCATGTAAATAAGAATAAGGGTTATCTTTGCTCATAAATTAGAAGTGTGGGCATATCTTAGAGGATCTGAATTGTCTATGACTCACTGATAAACTCTTTTGCAAAATTTTAAAAATTCATTAAGGCCTGCTTTAAACTCAGATGAGAGAGAGGACACATCTATCCATTTTCTAACACCCTCTTCCTTCCCCATTTCCCAGCTTTCTTAGGTGTTCTTATGACTTATCATTCAAAAAAGAAATCTTAAGACTTATCATGCTGATGTGTCACACATCCCAGAGGCAGGTAGAATTTCAGGCATGAGCACTTTCTAAAATTATGTCAAGTCTGACCTCACTGGTAATGACCTTCTCTAGCTAGATACATCTCTGATCCCTCAAAGAAAACAAAACTAGTAAGTTGGTAGTAATATTTTAATGGCGTAATAGAGTGTTTAACATACTGAAGTCAAAGAAGAAGTTTCTCAAATCAGCTCACAAGTGTGCATTTCTGCTTCTTTAAAACAGCTCCAAAGATCAAACTTTTGGGAGCAATCAGTGATCCCAGCCTTGGAATCAGAGATCTGGGTTCAAATGCTGGCTTTGCCAATTACCAACTAGTGGGCTTAGACAAGTAATTTAAACCCTCTGAGACTCAGTTTCTTCTCTGGAAAATAGAAATCATACCTAATTCACAGAGATTTTGAAAGGAACAAACAGATTAAAAACCAGGTAGATTCCCCATCTTCATTTGTCAGGATGTCTTCTTTCCCCTGGGTGATTTCCAAATGTCTGAAGCAAGCTTACAAGTTTGTGTGCATCATAAAATATCAAAGGTTAAAACAGGCACTAAAATTTAATTCCATAATAAATACAATACTCTTTACAAAGAATAAAGTAAGAAATCATGCAGAGTTAATCCCTTAAAGTAACACATTTCACAGACGTAATAAATATTCCTTTGATTGCTTCGTCTGATATAACAATTTGTTAACAACTTGTTACATCCCAATCAGACAGCTCTTCATCTTCTTATTTGAAGCAACAGCCACATGGATCAGAGTCTAACCAGTTTGGGCTGCTCTTTCATATCTTATAAATTCCATGTCCCAAAATTCTTCTAAAACATTTACAGTAATATGAATTTTTCCTTCTAGCCCTTTGTGTAAAGTTAGTACTTTCAAAGTTACGTTATAAATTTGTTATTTCCATATTATCTTTCCTAAAAAGGCTCATAATGAGTTCCTGTGATAAGTCCCAGAAAGTAAGCTAGTACCAGAGGATGCTTCCAGCAAAGAACTTCTGCCTTGATATAAGGAAATACGCCATTTGGCTTCTGAAAAATTTCTGTGGACAATGTATACATTAAGGGTTTGAAGTAAGGCACTTCTTTTATTAATTTCTACTTTCCACTTCCTCCCAGCTGACCTCATTGGGAAGAGGAGCCTCATTCATTCATCCATCCATCATCTATCTATCTATCTATCTACTCATTCATTCATCATCCATCCATTCATTCATCATTCATCCATTCTTTAAAACGTATAAGCCAGTTCATAAAACTTCCCTGTTGAGAATTATCAATGCCTTTCTATTTCACTTACAATAAATTCAGACTCTGATGAATTACAAAGCCTTATATGATGCAAAGTCTGGATTCTAGTAGACCCTACCTACTCTGACCTTGTCTGAAAATCCTTTCCTGTTCCTTCAATCTGCTTCAACTATGCTGGTCTTGCTGTGTTCTCAGTGTTAAAAGTCCATGATACCAGATACCAAACCTAAATTTACTACCTGATCTAACTGCACTTTCAACCTCTCCCAGAAACAAAATCTTAATCAACCAGTCTGAAATTTTCTCATCAAGCACCAGTAAGGTAATCTGTCATGTGGGCCCTCTCCATCCCACTCCCTCAAACCCCTCACCCCCAAAAAAGAAGAGGCAATCTGCATAAAAACCTTTCCCATTCCCTGGGCCCATAAAGAATCCTTTCTTTTCTCTCGTTAATAGCTTCCTTGCCCTGTCCTTCTTCCTACAAAAGTCTTCCATTCTGTACAACTCCTGGAGTGAGAAGGGATGCTGCCTGATGCATGAATTGCTTATCACAGCCATTAGATCTTCAAATTCACTAGGCTGAATTTTGTATTTTAACACCAGGAACACACCACCCTTGTTTCTGCCAATGACTCTGCCTGAAATGTTTGTACCACAGGTCTCTGACACCATTTAAGGGTCAACTGCAATGTCACCCTTTGGAGAAGCCTTCCTTTCCTGGCCCCACACCCAGCCCTGAAGCTGTTCTCTATCCCATTGTCTTGTTTTGTTTTCCTCCACACATTTAGAGCTATCTAAAATGATGGCATTTGATTATTTTTCTACACATTCATTGTCTATCTGCTATCACTAGAATTTAAGATCCATGATGACAGAGTCTGTCTGAATGTTGACCACTCTAATAATGCTGAGTACATTACAAAGGTTCAGTAATTTTTTTTGGAGTGAATGACTGGATAAATTCATCCCTTCATCAAACGATCACTGAATATTTATATGAGCCAAATTTCTTCTAAATCAAGACTTCTGAATTTCTTTAGGATTCTTATGAATCATCTAATTCTCCACCAATTCCTTTTCCAGACTTTAAGAGTTAAACATGTAAAAACATTATCAGAATGTGTATTTTGATAAGGTAGGAAGTCCCATACAAAGTTTTATCATCTTTTAATGCCCCACTTTGAATTGTAATATGATTGTCTCCTAAAAAACTTTGCTATAACTGTTACGGGTTCTTTGCTTTTCTAAAGTAGGCAGCACTCTTACTTTAAGCTATGAACTTAATCATTCAGTTCCAAATTATGATTACTTTTTTATGATTTCAATTGTGGAGGGAAAATTCATAAAATGCCATGTTTTGTGATTTAAAAAAAGCAGATTTAAATAGGGCTAGACTAGAACAAGGACACACTGAGATACTGAAACAAACTAATCACTGAGTCTCAATAAATGAAAATTAGACTGTAGCCCTAATATAAATATTATCAAGGAAATGCAAAACATTAGGACTCAATCTCTGTCTGTCCTTGTCAAATTTAGTTTACTATGGAACCTTTATGTCCTGGGTTCATCCATTATATAGGAGTAAATGTTAGATTCAATCAGATGATAATTTTAACTTTTTTATTGAATTAAAATGGTAATTTCAGTCAGGTAGGTAGCCTAATCCTGGCAACAGAGCCAGTAAGAGAAGCAAAAACAGATGTAGGGAGGAAAAGGGAGAAGGTTGATCAAAAATTAGAGTCAACGTATATTCTCTGGGTCTCGTTCACATGGCTGTTTTCAAAACTTCTTGTAAAGTTTTCCATGTGATCATTGGACATTATTGTTTTAATTATTAGTTTAGTCAATAGAATATGCTAAAATTATACATAATGTATAAAAGTAATGTTTTTGACACTTCAACAATAAGGCATAGCTTTCTGAAATACATTTATAGCAAAATTTTTCAGAGGAAAAAACCGATTTTCAAAATCTACAATCTACTAAATTCATATAGATATGAGAGTTTAAAAGTCAGTAAGTCTGCAGTTTAGTATCTGTAACAGTCATTTTATTTTTCATAAAAATATTCTTTATCCTTTTTTTGTGTTATTCATGTTGTCTTTTAGCTATACCAATTAGATATTTTTTAGCTCACTCCTGGGTTACTACCACTGCTCAAAAATGTTTATTCTAAGACAATGGAAGAATTTTAGAGGCATTTGATCAGAATTTTACCTTGATCTGCATCAGCGAGGAAGATCCTTTGAACACAATGTTTATCAAGAAATTTCATAGCAAAATCACTAAATTCCAATAATTTCTCTTCAAATAGTACAGTACAGAAGTGTGAAATTGATAGATAATGTAAGAGGTTATGTTAGCTCCCCATTTTTCACTTCCATTGTCATTAAACTTAATAAGTCTAGTGAATTACATGGTGATCCTATAGTTACATCTTCATTTATTTTCTCTGCATATAATGTGAACAGCAAAATGGCTTAAAGGCAATAAATTAACAAAGGAGAAGCAGACGGCCTGAATAATGCACACATAGGAGAGCAAATACTTAAGGTTCACTAGCAGCATTCATTCGACTGCTAAGACCTTACATATCCTAAGCAATCAATTCAATGAAAAAACGCCTATGGTCAAAAGAGTACAATGGAATGAGATTCAATTTAGAAAATAGAAACTATTACATACATGAATTACCCACTCAATGAGGACCCAACCACAGGAATTTCATCTGTATAGTGATAAATTATAATTTCCATCAAGTTTGTGAATTCAGCACTCCCCAGAAGGGAAGTCTTTGATTCTTGTGTCAAAAGCAAGGCCTCTTGTCCAATTTCTAGTGATTCCATGACATCTATCTGTATATGAGACCTTAGTGAAATTTTTTATTTTCTATAAAACAGACTTGTAAATAGTTAATAGCGACACAACCTCTTTCTTCCCATAGACCTCAGAAGTCTAAGGGCTTCTTAGATACCACTAAGTGTCTGGGAGAATATATTAGGGCCTCCAAATTACAAGATCAGGGAACACCTGTTTATCATGGAGTTAAAGCTCTGTGCTGTTTCACAAAATATACTCTCGTGCAAGCTCACCCTGAAGACTATTTTCACTTTAGCCTGTTGATTCTGGAGACCTTTTTTTTTTTTTTTTTTGGCTTCCTGATGTGAATTTTCTTTTATCCTCTCATCACACAGCAAGACAAAGCCTTGGAAAGACAGCCTTTAGATAGAGTTACACAATCTTTGCAAATGAAAACATCGATGCCAAAGAACTGGAACTGTTTAGTGCAGAGGGATGAAGAGAAAACACTGTGTTGAACAAAACAACGTAAGCAGCATTGAAAGGTTAGAACACAGTGACACACTGCACACAACTGTGGCCCACTCCACTTGGCACCCAGAGGAAAAACAATCCCTTCTGTTGCCCAAGCAACCTGGGTGGTCACAAGCCTAGCTACTTTTCTACCCGCCAAGTTATTTTACTCTTTTAGACTCTTGTCCGTTTTTTGATTTGAGTGTGTTTTGACCTTTATATTTTTTCCCAATTCAAAATGAATATGGTGGGCAGGGCTATATCTTCCATAGGAAAAACTGTTTACCCAGAGCAAGGGAATAACTTCTGACTGTCTTAACTCTTACTGAACAGGACCAGAAAATAAGTGAAAGACATGCAGTAAAAAAATAAATAAATTAGGTAATAAACAAAGCTCAGATGGGGCTCAGGGACCTTCCCGAATTTACCACAAGGTGTTTCTACTTGGCTTTCACTCCTTTTCCTTCTCCTTGAGACTTTCTGCCCATAGAAGTCAATCGCACTGCTTTGGAAAGTTAAGAGTTGGGTACGAAGGGAAAGGGAAGAGAAAAATAGCCACAGAAAGCTATAATGTGTTTTCTCCTCTTTCTCTCCATTAAGATGATGATGAGGCCATGATTAGAGTTGGTCAAATTCCTACATCTGTGTCAGGAAATCCTGCTTGCCTCTTCTGATTTATACCCAATGCTTCAACCCTCCTTGACCATTTTGGTTGTTATTTCTGCTCTGGAAACACAAGAATATTTTCTATAAGCAGATATTTTTGTTAATTTACTGAGTAATGTGGCAACTGGGTGGGTGTTAATACTGTGGATAAGATCAATGCAGATGATTCACTGGGACAAATATAAGTTTTCATTACTTATTTTTTTCAAATGACTTACAAGGCAGAATATGTCCAGCGGTTGGATTCAGAAAGCAGTTCACACCCTAGTCTCCAAGGTCCCGTATCTCAACATTCATATTTCTGACACAAGATTCATTTATTTCAAACTGAAATTGTGTCTCCAGTAATGTGAACATGACCACAGGAGCACAGTAGTAATGAGGTCATTAATATGTGTACAGTTAGGAGAAAGGTTATTTTCTAATAGGAGTCATCTACTTAATTTCCTCAATACTCCTACTGTGGCGTATGTTCTTAGGGTGTAGCATTTATATATAAATATTAAAATAAGTATCTTAATATTCTAATATTCCAATTATTTTCATTCTAATGAAAACTCTCAATGTACAAAAAGAGAGTGAATCTGACTGTCTTTAAGTTGTATCCCTGGATTTGTCTAGAGGTGTGTGTGTGTGTATACATACCCACATAAACTTACTGTCACAGAAATGAAATTGTTGGAGACAAATCCTACACAAAGGACTTTGGACCTTCATTGACTTCTGTTAGCAGATATGCCTAAAACTTTGCAATAAATCAACAAGTTTCTTAGCAAAATGTACCTTTACTCATCAAATAAAAGCAAAGCATTTCTTCATTTTTTTTTTTGGGGGGGGATAGGTTTAGGGAGAGTTCTGGTAATGAGACAAGACAGCAAATATTGGAAAGGTTACAATACAAAGAAAACAAAGGTATTATAGGTAACAGAATGAGTGGCAGATTGTGTGCCTTTTGTTGAAAATGTCAGTATTTTCTTTAGGTTTCTCCACATAGAATTAGAATTCTTTTACTACTTGGGTAGGTCTGTCTGCCTTTCATGTGGGGGTTAAAGTTGTGGGTTGTGAGTCAAACTAAACTAACTCATTCTGAATCTGGCTGCTGCTCCTTTCTAATTTTTCCTGACCTTCCCTTTCTTGGCAGCCTGAAGGTTCTAATATCTTGCATTCTGGCTAAGAGAACAGAACATATGGTTTGCTTGAAGATTCTTGTTAAATACTTGTCCATTAACCTGACAGTAGGAGGCGCTAAAGAGCAAAAACAGGAGTCAAATGAGACACCTCAAGTCCAAAGCAAACACACCTGCCCCCTGAAAAACATACTTGATTGTTTTAAGTTTTGGAAAGCCATATACAAAAAATAACTACTGACATTTTTCCCTTATGATTTTGGGACATTCTTTCATTAAGCTATTTCATAATTAATTCTATTATTCAGATATGACTTTTCTTTTCCCTTAGAGTAAACAGGTTTAAACAAATAAACAAACAGAAGCTTTAATCAAGGATTTAGGGTCTGGCTAGCATCAGGGATAATGTTTGGGTTTTGTTATAAATCTTAAGCAACATTTCATCAGCCTTTATGTTATCTATAGGTAATTCAGAAGACATTTTGCCCAGCTCCTACAGCTACCTGGAAGGAACTTCTTATCAACAAGCAATGCTTCTATCCAAAATTTGTGAAATAAAATTGTGTTATATTCTGAATAGTTTCTACATAATAACTAATATAGTGGTAGATAATCTCTGTAAACTAGTTGGAAATCATGACAACTAAATCTCACTGGAGGGGGCAAGATTCAATATCAATCTGTATCCATCCATCAGTAATTCAGATTCTAACTTGGGTTCCTTCATGTGCTCTACGTGGTTTGTTGAGTTTTCAAAGAAAGCCTGCATATGGGTAGGGATACTTAATCAGTGAAAGTGAGATTATTACAATAGTACAGATAAAGCTCCTTTACCCTTTTACAAATGGATATTTTTTTAAAAAACATTACAGACAATTCATCATTACCACCAAATTAGCTTATTCATACTGCAGATTATACAGACCAGTCTGCCAACTACAGTTGACCCTTCAACATCACAGGGGTTAGGTGTGTCAATACGCTGCACAGTTGAAAATCTACATAAAACTTTTGACTCCCCCAAAGCCTAACCACTAATAGCCTCCTGTTGACTGGAGGAAGACTTATTGATGACATTAACAGTCAATTAACACATGTTTTCTATGTTATTTGTATTATGTACTATATTCTTACAATAAGTGAGTTATAGAAAAGAAAATGTTATTAAGAAAATTATAAGAGGAAATGCACTTACAGTATGTATTGAAAAAAATCCGCATATAAGTTGACCCACACAGTTCGAACCAGTGTTGTTCAAGGGTCAACTGTATATGCTCTTCCCTTCTGGAACTTGTGTCTCATCTATCTCCTACTTCATACTCTAGCTCAGTGGTTCTCAACCTTCCTAATGCCACGACCCCTTAACACAGTTCCTCATGTTGTGGTGACCCCCAACCATAAAATGATTTTCGTTGCTACTCTATAACTGTAATTTTGCTACTGTTATGAATCGTAATGTAAATATCTTTTTGTTTTCCGATGGTCTTAGGTAACCCCTGTGAAAGGGTCGTTCGACCCCCAAAGGGGTTGCGACCCACAGGTTGAGAACCACTGCAGCTGATTGGCTCATAAACCACTTATCAGAGCATTTGAATGTTTTCATTCACTTATTCACCCATCCATCCATTCATCCATCCATTTAAAAGACATTTGTTGAGTGCATTTGCTAGGAGACTTGTATTATTATTTTAATCCTAACATCCACATGAGGCACATAGTCTTACTCCTATTTTATAGATGAGGAACTGGGACTCAAATAATTTAATTAACTTGCTAGACCAAGTGTGTAAATACCAGCATTTATGCCCATTCTCCTACTTCATACAGGACAGAAGAAGGCGGTAGATGATGTGTCGCAGTTTTTTACATTTTGTGTTAACATGATCCTCCACTGGCTTAAAACATAGAAAGTCACAACCCTTCCAGGGCTATCAAGCTCAGTGGAGGAAACGAGTACATCTGTTCACTTGTCACATTTGCTCTTTTCAAAAAACATAAAGTTACACAAATATTTGCCGTTCCATTAACTTATGTAATCTAGAGACTAGTGAACACAAAATGAAATTTTGCTTTTTGGGCTATTTGTCTTGCCATTAGCTAAAACATTATGACAAATTTCATCTGTAACATAAACAAACCTGAGTTATTTTTAAAGTCCAGAAAATGTGAAGTCAGTGCTGAACCTCAGTGGGAAACTAATTTTTACAACTGTCTCCCTCTTTGCATCAAGCCTCTTCTCCATTTGGTTTACATTTCGAAATCATGAAATGAACGTACCGTTCTGACCTCTAGCCATCTGTTGGCAGCTGAGAGAAATAAGTAGGCAATGTTGTTTGTGTCTGTCAATTCCAGCATACGTTGCTTAAATCTGGTTTCATGCCTTCAGAAAACAAAAAAATGTTATAATGTTAGCCACATAATGGGAGAAATAATAAAAACCAGTCACACTTACTACTACACTCTTTACTCAACAGAATGACAAACTGATGGGATGAAATGACTACTGAATGACTCCTACTTCAAAATAAAGGCCAGCTGCTACTGCTCTGAGGTACTCTCAGCAGAGATGGTGTGGTCCAGTGTTCCCTTCATTTCTCAAACCTCTGCTATGCAAAGAAACCTCTCTGATGACAAAGTACTATTAAAGATCATTTCATAAATTTCCACATGATTATTGTAGCCATAGAAACAAGGCATGGCCTATGTTGCAAGGGCCTTACACAAAACCAGAATAAGTTGTACAAAAATGCAAACTATCCCACCTATGTTTTATTGCATTTATTTTACTTTTCCAAATGGTGCAGTTAGAGTTGGGTGGAGATGCTTGGTGAGAACCAAAGAAAATCAGGAAACTATGCATTTGTAGCAAATATATACTTTAAAGTTTTTCTTTTTGGCCGCTATTTCTGGGTACCAAAAAAGGAAACACGGGTGACATGAAATAGAAGATGGGGGTCCTTTGAGATGGCTGATGTTCTTAAAAGAATGCAAGTTAAATATGATATCTTATGCCTCAAAGTTCTAAACTATTTGTAAGGATGGTCACTGTATGAAAGGAACCCTTAGTCTATGGTATTTACAGGGTTGTATGACACATACAGTTTAAATATTAATGCTTGACCAAATTAAGGTCATTCCTGGTGAATAACATAATCTGATCCAATTCTGTGTAAGCTATGTTATAAAGGAAACTTCTAATAAAAATCTTATCCATTTGAAGACGTGAGCCACTCTCATAGTAACTCAGGCTATATCGTGATAAATTTTTTCTAAATAACAAAAATAGTCTCTTTTCACTGTTTAGTTATTCTCCCTGAATATCAGAAACAATGGAAAGCTGGATAATATAATCAAAATAACTGTTTGAAGGTTGGAGGAAATGCCAAATCAAAATGTGATTATTCACTCTCTGCAGCCATAGCTTGTCTCACACAGACCTGTTTATGTGTCAGGTTTGCAAGAAATAGCCAAATTTCATGTGGCAGCCTAGCAGTGATTCCTGCTTGATAAAAGACTGCCCCAAGTCCCCCAAAATGTTCAAATCAATTTGTAAAACTTTATAATCAGCCATCTCTGTGTCAAAGAATGAATAAGTCTGGGTGGGGTGTTCACTTGGCCAGTGAAACCATCCATACAGGCCAATATAAAGCAGATACTTGATATCTGTCCAATCGATCTGATCGCTCCAATATGCCAAACCAGATAAATCAGATAATTGAGTCAGACAGTAACATCTGATCTAAAATAATCAAAGGATTCAGCAATCAGAGCCAAATAATGACCTCACATTGAGTTATGTAGCCTTGACCCGAATGCATGGCACAGAAGGACCTGTGCTGAACAGCACACTGGGACAGTACCGAGCAGTCCTAGGAATGTGCCTACCCTTTTGATGACCCTTTTAGAGATAAAGTGAATACTTAAAAGGTAGGATGGTTCACAGGGTGATAGCATTTACTGAGATAGAAGATATGAACTGTAAAGAGATACACCGACGTGAGGGCCATGCTTTCTGTACTTGCAATGTTAGGCAGATTTTCACCCAGTCATTCAGAAATATGTAGCAAGCACCAACTCCAAGTGAGACATTAGAACATACATATGAACAAGACATGACCTCTGCACTTGAGAAGCCCACTGTTTGTGAGGGAGGTAAACAAGGTACGTATTATTATAACAAGTAAGGATGGTACAACATAGAAGCTAGTTATAACACCCCTGTGCACAAAATGCTATATAATCACGAAGAAACAGGATGATTTACTGGCCAGAGGATCACGATGGCAGGCGATGGGGTGGAGGGAGGTGAGAAAAGTATAATTAAGCAAGGTTTCACAGAGGACTTGGAGGACGGTCCGAGTGGGGTTTTAAGGGATGAGCTGAATATTTCAGGTGAACAAGGGAGGACAAAAGCATTGGTAGTAGAAGGAACAACATGAGCAAAGACAGAAACAAGAAAACTCCAAACGTTCAGCAGCTCGAGATAGGGTCCTCTCCCTAGAGGAGCTGGGGTGGTGGAGAGACGGGAGGTGGTGCCAGTTGGACCAAAGCCAGTGAACTATATTTGAGATGAACATCAAACACTTCATTCTGACAAAGTGTTTTGTCTGGGACTCTTCTTACTCTTCCTTTAGTTTTAGGATATTGTTTCAGATACACTCTTACAGAGTTTGTAAATGGAATTGGCAACCGTCTGAAACAGCAATGAGAGGGGAGGGGTGGAAATGCAGTGAACATTCTTTCTGTGTGTTTCTATTTGGCAAGAAACCTTCTGTTTTCCTAATGGAAACTTTGACACACTCAGTCTGTATCTTTTTATCCACATCCAGCTCATCTTCTGAACATTCTTAGACCTTTATTCTGTCAGGCGAAAAATAATAGGAAAGGTCACTGAAATCTCAGTCTAATTTAACTGTGATACTTTCATGGTAAACTACTTGAGGGAGTTGACTGCCGCATGTGAGTACACCATGAACTCTGAACGCTGGGGAGGAAAAGCAGCCTAATCAGTAAATACTAACTTTTCCAAAAGCGCTAAAGACTCTGGGGACTCTGGGTAGCCTGAAAGAAAGGAAGAAATGGATGGAAAAGAATGTGTTTGATTCTTCGTTACAAGTACCAAACGTAATGATTATAGGATTTTATTCATGGTTGCAGGACCATCCCCACATTTTAAAATTTCCTTTGGTTTAAAAATGCTGATTGTTGTGGTACTTAATATTTACTTTAAAAATGAACTCTGGAAGATCTAAATCTGACTGAGAAGGACACAGGTACTTTTACCTAAAAGTTGGGTTGTCTTTTGTTTCTTTCCCTTATAATTCAAGTCTTGAAGCTTAACACATGCTATATGTGTTCTTATAGCTACCCGGGATTTTCCTGATGTAAAATTAGAAATAGGCTAAATTCTGCTCATGTGTTTACTGAAGACAGTAAATGAAAAATTTAAACCTTGACTCCTGGTGAAGTTCCTTTTTCATTCTAAACCATCTGCATTTCCTCCAAGATACGTTACCTGGTTCTAATCTTCATCATTGTCAGAAAAGAACCTCACCTTGTTCTTCAGGGAGAAAATAGAGGCTGCTATATGTTGAACCCATCAGCTTCCTGCTGATCCACCTACCACCTGGCCTGAGTCCAGTCACTGCTTACCCCCCCCCCCCACCTACCATGTTATCCTATCCATTTTCTTTATGGTTAGGGTAAAAAAGAAGAGCCATGTCTTTGTAGTCCTTACGTAGACTCAGCAAGAGAAGCACCTCAAATGTGTTCAATACTCAACTAGATTCACTTGAAAAGACTTGGTTGGTGAAAAATGCAATCTTTAGTGTGGTGTACTCTATGCTGGCTACTATTAAATATAAATATTAAGACAAAAATATAGATTTTTGTCTTAATATCTATATTCAATATCAATAACTAGTTTTGTCACCTCTAATAAAAGTCATTGCACACTCTGATGGGAAACATACCACTGCAGAAAACATGATGAAACCTATGTAGATTGATGTAGAAATGTTGTGGATGGTTGTATCTTTATATTACATTTTTTTACTCAATTATGTACACAATAATATAAACATTTCTTAAGTTAGAAAAATCTCTGATTGAAATCAACACACATTTGCATTTGGGGTTGAAGAAAGATATAATACTTTAAAATGTCAATTTTCTAGATAAAATGAAATATTCAGCGATGCCACCTTCTTTTCTGATTTACTTGAACAGGGACAACAGGACCCGGTAATTTTTTGAGTGTTAAGTAAACACTCTTGATCAAAAGCTTAGGATATTATTCTGTTAACCAACATTAAAGAAAACTGATTAAGTCCTAAAATAACTCTAGCATGATAATTTTTTTATTAATACATTTTTTAACTTGTTTTATGGGTGCCTCTTTGCTAATCACTGTGGTTACTGCTCTACATGCATTATTATTAATTAGTTCAATGCCCCTAAAAACCAAAATTGATTTCATCATTTCATAGGTGAGAAAAATGAGCCTGGGAATTTAAAAGCCTGGTCTACATCACACAGCTAGTATAATATCTTTCCAATGTGGTGCTTCATTCTTTCTTTATTCTCGTTAAAATTTCAGGTGATTAAACTCTACCTCTGCTCATTTATTGCCTAATTTTCTTTCTTTTAATTTAGAACACTGCCACAGACACAGCGTGTATCCAAAGAAAATGGTAGCAATTATCATTATTTGTAGATAAATATTTGTTGATAGCATACTTGCCTAATCAACAGAATGAAAACATGTTTACTCACCTAAATGCCCGAATGGTGGTGAGTCCTTCGGCTGTTTCTGAGAAGTGGCAAAGCAGAGGGAGCTGGGTACTATCGTCAAGTTCCTGGAGGTCCCTAGAACACAGCAGGGTGCAAAAATAAACTTCAGATGCCTTCAGACTCAAAGACCACCATGTTCGTTCTAAATTAAGGTTATTATTTGTCATTGTAACTATGTTCCTCTCACACCCAATTAGCAAAAACTTCAACAGCTTACAGTCTAAAAAGGAACAGAAAGATGGGTACAATGAATATAGGTCCAGGCTGAATGTTATGTGCTGTACAAAAATATCAGCTTTGTAGAACAGCTTAAGTAAATTGCTATGGCGGCACAGAAAAATGGGCAATAATTCATGTGTAGGAGATGGGTAATATACTCGTATGTATTTTTTGAGAATGTGGATTAGGCCAAACCGTAAACATAAGGAGGGCTTCTACCAAACAGACAAGAAGTGGTGCATTCCAGCAAAGGGAACAAGGACGAGCACAGAAGACGAAAGTACCTGGCAAGCTCCATCTAGCTGGTTGCCAGAATCCTTTGGGGGTGTTGTTGTGAGAAAGGCTGTATAAAGGACAGGTGGGACTCCATTGTAGAGGATCCTGGGTTAGTGGGAAAAAAATCACTGAAGACTAGAAATAAAACCATCAGAGCTGTGCTTAAGCAACACAGCTTGTGAGACAGTGTAAGGGATGAAAGAGAATGAATGAGTTAGGATAGCCTATATAGGGGGTGTTTTTAAAGTTCTGAATTAGGTGATGCTGGTGAGATTTAAAATAAGGGCAGGACTATGAAACAGTCTACTAGAAATAGCTTTCTAAACTGCTACAATAAATTAGTTGTAGCAAGGTGAATAAGAGAGAAGAGTCAAATATGGCTTAGTTGTTGCTTAGCACACTTGGAACATGACAGGGCTATTTACCAGGGTGGGGGACCCATAATGAAGATATTTGGAGAAAAAGATAATAAGTTTGGCTTTGGCCACAATGAGGTTGTAATCCTTACCTTCATGGAACTTCTATTCACAGGTCCTCCAACGAATATATACCGGGAGTGCCAAACAAATGTGTACACATTTTAAGAGATGTTATCTATGTATTACTTTTCAGAGTCCAGAGTGCTAACCATTACACAATGGAATCTATGTATTACTTTTTGAAATTGTATTGAATTACGTAGCAATTAAAATTGTATTACAATTTTAATACAGGTTTCTTCCTTCCTTAAAAATGCGCAATGAATGTTTGGTGGACCAATGTCTGAATCTCCCTTTTCATAATGATGCACATTCCTGACAACTTTTCTTAAAACCACATAGGCCAGCATTTCTAGAAGACAAGCTTAGAGTTATACCATGTGTTTCAAAACACTCCTTTTTTTTTTTTTTTTCCTTTATCAGTCTTATTTTCTGCCTTTCTATAGGTCTTTGGGGTGGAGGGAATTAGAGTAACAGCTCTGGCATTCACTTCAACTGAACTGATTCACTGTTACATAACCTTCAACAATCAATTTAGCGCATTCTGGGCTGTCTTTGTCATCTCCAAAGTCTTTATTGAAATTCTAAAATGAATTTGGTCACTGCAGAAACTGCAGATGAGGGGAGGGAAAAAGAGAGGGGAGGAGAATGAATATGAAGGAATGCGGAATAGTCTGCTATTTTTAAACAAAACTAAGTGGCTATTTGTAACTTTGACACAAGCAACAGGTGGTCACTACATGTAATGAAGGTGAAAAATTAGGAAGGAGATACCTTTGTTTACAGGACTATGTTTTGTGAAACCAAAAAGTTGAGGGTACAGCTTAATCGTGTCTTCTTGTGAGTAGGAACACACTTGCAGAGCTAACCACACATTAGATCTTTGATTTCCGATATTCAAAATGTTGTGGCATTTCCTGTAGCACCCCCCCCACCCCCGTTTGAATGCTCTTTGGTGTTTACAAAATAGTCTGTTAAGTTGCCTGAGCTTTCCAAAATGGGCAAGTTCTTCAGAGCATCACCATCTAGAAAGTTCTTTTTATATGGGAGATTTAAAATCAGGTAGTCATATTTGCTAGTTTTCAGAGGATTTCAAATAAGAATGGCATATAATCCATTATCAATGTTAATTCTTTAAAAACAGTCATTCCCCTTTATTTTAGCTGCTTACTACCAGTGTTAACAGGATCATCAAACTTACAATGAACAGAATTCACAATTCAAAATAATGGATTAGAACCATTTGCCTACCCTTTGCGCTCAATTTGTGTTGCTAAGGGGCAAAAACAGGCCCAAATAAGCATGTGATTAAATGAAGTAAGACATGATTGTTTAATTCAGTGGTGAGAAGGCAAGGATAGATTTAAAAACCGCCAGCAGAAATGAAGTAATTAAACTTTTTTTCCCCTCTGGCAAGTATCATCAACAGTAACACCAGAAAAAATGAAAGGACGAATGTGATGGCTACCCTCTCCCTTTTGGTCCGAATTTGCTATAAGAAAAGGGAATGAGGCTGGGAATGAAAAAGCACTCTAGATTCAATATAGATCCCTAACATGTGAAGAACCCTAATTCATAGTCCTGAGGGAAAAACAACTATACTTTTTAAACTCAGAAATGTCATATGATGTATTCAGAAATTCCCAACCTCTTGCCTTGGTACCTTCCCTGATTTTTCTTCATCTTTCCTGCACTCAAGTCCTATTAAGTATTTTTAGTTTATTAAGTAAACTCAGTATCTGCCTTCCTATCCCAGCACTTAATTCATATATGAGGGTTACTTTATATATGTTTTTATCTTCCCAAGAGACTGTTTCTTGACAACAGGTTCTTGTTATGCTGATTTCTTCACCTGCCACATGGCATATACAATTATTTGCAACACAGTAAATGCTTAATAAGTGTTTGTTGAAATAAAGTGATTATTGTAACGATTTAAGATTTATGAGCAACTTATAGGAGGGCTTGAAAGTTAAATTGAAAATTTAAGAACAACTGGTTTCATTTAACTATTCAACATCTCAGCAAATGACAAATCCTATATTAATAGAAGAATTTAAAGTGCATGTTTAATGTCCCAATCTGAAAATTTCCAATCTCTTATTAAAGTTACAACACTCCTTTCAGAGAGTCAAGACTATCTACTTTTATAGTCATTCTATCTTTTTAACCTTTTTTATTTTTACTGGTTTTGTTTGTTTGTTTTACAGAATGTATTTTAAGCATTTAAAAATATTCTATGTTTTCCTCCCCACTTGTGGAATATAATAATATTAAACCACTTATCCTTTGGGACTGTATTTAATTTTGTAAGTTTTCTGTCAATATCATGTTCAGAGAAAGGACAGTAGAACGAAAAATCTGGCCCAATCTGTGGACTCACAACTCAATAGATCAATACTATATGTCCAGGGAGAGCTGTGCAAGTCTCAGACAACAAAATACAGAAACAATTATAACAGATCTCCAAATAAAACATCATTTCAGGATAAGTTTCATCATGTTAAAAATAGGTTGCATTGCCAAATTCCATACCTTATCTTGAAAAACACTATAGCAAATCTGGATCACAGTAAAACAAGTATAGAGTTTTTTTAAAGATAAATCGAACAATGTTTTACTTACTTAGAGGCCACTCGGAAGTACTTCTGGATAAAATAAAAGGCAACCCCAAGAGGCACAAGGGCAACCAGGAACACCGGGGTGGCATAAGAAATCATGCCGATGGCAGACAGGCAGAGCAGTGTGGAGCGAGTGAGAGATTCCAAAGTTGGAGGGATGTGCTATCAAAAAGGTAGTTTGAAAGGAAAATGTTTTAACTCAAATAAAACATTGGTTACAATTCAACAAAATATTCATTTCATATTAATGTTAAGCTATATAGTTAGTTACAAAAGTCACATATAAACATTTTTATTGTAAGCAGTTCTTCAGTCCTTCCACTTCACTCACTTCCCATTGATTAGTATATTTATCCACCTATCTACCGATCTACTTATCATCAGATATCTACCTACCTACCTATTCATCTTAAGGATTTTATGTAAGTGGCACCATGCCATAAATCTTATTTGTCCGTGTGCTTGTTTTATTTTACGGAACAAGACAGATTATAAATCTTCCCATGCTGCTATATGCAAATCTTTTTCCTTTTAATGGCTGCACAGTATTAAACGTATTTAGCTATTCCTCTACTGTAAGACATTTAAATTAATTTTTGTAATTAATTGCTTAGTCAGATCTTTTGCATGTTTTTGATTGGATTATCTTCCTTATTGATTTTTAGTTTCTTTTTATATATTATGGATGTTTATCCTCTTTCTTTACATATGTTGCCAGTTTTTCTCCCAGTTAACCTGTTATATTTTAAATTTGTCTTTGATGCTTTTGCACAAATGGAAGTTTAAAATTTTATGCACTCATTTCTGTTGGCCTTTTCCATGATTACTTCTGAGTTTTGTGTTTTATTTAAAAAGACCTTTCTAATCCCAAAATTCTAGAACTAATCTATAATTTACTTTATAGTTTTATGTTTTTAATGCCCATCTTTATTCCATATATATTTGCTTTGTATTTTATAGATAGCTAGCTATCCCAACATCCTTTATTGAAAACAATAATCCTTTTCTTACTGATTCAAGGTACCACATTTATCCTATGTTAAGTCTCTATATATGCTGGTGTTTTCTAATTCTCCATTTTGTTCTTTTGATCTACTTGTTTTCTGTGATCACCAGAGTGTGTTAATTTTATAGTATTTTGGAGGTATGTGATAGGAAAATTCTCTCTGGAAATACAGGATTTTTTTGATTTCCAGAATTGATAGGTCTCTTCATGTTAGGTTTATTTCTATTTATTTCTAGTTTTTGTTGTTACAAATGAAATTTATTTTTTACTTAATTTTTTAATTGCTGTAGAGAAAGTTATTGCTTCTATATCATATGTCTTATACAGATACTCTGCTGAACTTTCTAATTGGTTCTTTATTGTACTAATTGTTTTGAAATCTCTAGTTGGCAATCATATCATCTTCCAAATAAGGACTGTTTTTGTCTCTTGTTTTTCAATATGTATTCCTTATGAAGTGGTTTAGATGCAGTGTGAACTGACACCAATGCCATGAAAACATCAAAACTTTTCAGCATACTTTTTCGTCAGCTGCAAGCATCAAGCACTCTTTTTCTAAATTGAGGGTAATTTAGGTGGTCATAAGGCCACTCTGGGAAATCAAAAAAGGCAAAGGCTGGATTTGATGGATTCTTTTCTCTATCATCCTATGGGGTCTGTTCTCAGAGTGATCCAATTTCAGAGTCTGAGGTCTTTAATTTCAGGACAAACTTCTAAAGGCCTAAGGATCTAAGACTAAACTGGGCATCCTTCGAATATTCCTAAAATATCACACCATCTGACGTTTCTCTCATTTGAGCCAATGAAATAAAAGTAAAGGACATGTAAGCTTGGCAGTCCATCCTTTACTTTGGGAGACACTCTAGATCAATGTTAAACTTTAAAAAACCTTACTGTGAATGGAGATACAACCTTGAACAAAATCATTCCTTTTTATTAAATTTAAATGTTAATTTATTCTTTGTTATTTCTCTTCATGCAAACTCTCTAAGTATTCGCTTCTACAAATTATTTTGAGATAAGGTTTTCCTTAAAGGTTTTAGTCTAGAAATCATTTAGGTATATAATATTACTATGAATGCAGACAGGCTTTCATTTAAGTTTTAGAAATCCTCTATTGTTAACAGGAATCATGGTTTATCTCAAAACATTACTTAGCTTACACTAAGAAATTTATTTTTGAACTTGGAAGTAGCTTTGGCACTCACCTGATCAATGATATTTGTATCTGCTGAAAAGCGGTTGAGAATCAGTCCCAGGGGTGTGGTATCAAAGAATCTAGGCAATAAACAGATTGGAATGCATGATAACACTAAACTATCTGTAACCTGAGCACCATTAATGAACATCTTGAAGTCATGAAAATGAGAAGGTCCCTATTCATTTGCTCAAGGACTGAATAAATTCTTTCAAATTTCACATTTCACTTCAATTTAAAAGTGCACATTTTTATGATTTTATGAGTGGGAGTAAGAAATAACTATATTTTTTTACCTTATTGGTCCAAGAATTATCTTATTGAGGAGATTGTGGTGAAGATTTTTGGCAGCTGTGAGACCCATCCATTCTACAGTGAGCGATGTAACAAGGCAGAGGAAAATACCTGCTCCGCAAAGTATGCTAAATCCAGCCACATAGAAGGTCTAAGAAGCAACCAACACAAAAAGCAGAGATGAAATAAATGATCATTTGAGTTTTTTCTTACTAGAACACCAAATAGAATCTCAAAGTCAGACAATATTGTCAACTTCATTGTCTGTCACCAGCTTAGACAGTTGAAGGAGTACAGATTTTGGAGACTTACAGCAGAAACCCTACCACAATCCTAAGGCCATGTCCCTATATGCTTCCTTCGCTCGCTTTCAAGGTTTGCCTAAGGGCAGATGAAGCTTAGTCTCTGTTCCCAGGTTTGAAATATTCTTGGCTTTCTGTATTGAGTTCATTCTTTCTATCCGAAATTTTGGAATGAATAGCTAATTCACTGGTATAGGCAGTTAAAATCAAATACCATCACAATAACAAAAGTCCCCATTTGTATGTTACACACACACACACACACACACACACACACACACACACACACAATCACGTGTGTATAATAAGTCCCTTAAATCCAAATCCAAATATTATCATTAAATGTTTCTTATGATAAACTTTAAAAAATTAAAGTGATAATAATAGATTCCATTTTGGAAGTTTATTCTATTTCAGGTCCTATTCTAACTAGATTACTGAATCACTCCAAAAGTTCTGTGACATTTGGGCTATTAGTATCGCACTGGATAAAAGGGTATCACTGTTAATCTCAACATTTCCTGGTTGATTGAAAAACAGCAGCCACTCTACCTGATCAGCTTTTCCAGTGTTGTTTATACTGTACTCCGATGTCCATGTGGCCAGCCAGTAGTCTATAGCTACGATGACTGAATGCTTCAAAAGCTTTGAGAAAATCATCAGGAAGAGCAAAAAGAATCCTCCAGAAGTGAGGTACCGCCAACAGGTTTTCCACGGCATTTTAGTTCTCAGCCGCATCACAGTGGACATGTTGTCATCCTCATCTTCCTCCTCTTCTTCCTCTGCATACAAAACACTTGTTTAAGCTTCAAATGGGCAGCACGTAGACAGAATTTATATTATCCCACAAAAAAAGCCTATAAAAAGTTCCCTCAAATTTATAGACATACAAGTATCAGTCTTAGAAAATGTAAATGATTTTAGCAGGAAAAACCTCATTTAAAAAAAATAGATGAAAATGAATAAATAAATGAATGAATGAGGTAGTGAAAAATACACATAAAATCCATGTCTGGATGCTATAATTTGCTGATTTATTACACATCAAATTGACTCTAATTATAGACTATAACTTTACTAGGTTACTGAAGTAATTGTGTTGCCAGTAAAACCACATGCCTGGCCTGAAAATATTTATATGTAATTCTTAGAACTTGAAATTTCTGAATTTGTAAAACTGCCCCAGGAAGAAATAGATTCCGAAATTTGTCCACCACCTAAGAGGGCATACTCCCTGCTCTCTATGGCCCATTTTAGATGTGGTCATGGGTAAGGAGAGACCTTCCAGAGGGCAAAGCCTGGAGCCACAGAGAACACTAGGCAGGGAGTGCCGCTCAGATGTTTAAACCATCTGGAAACGCCAAGACGGCTATCCTAAGAACATACTCCAATAGGAGGACAGGAAATTTTGGCATTTCCTGACCAGCAAAATTTGATCATTTGTGTGGTCCAGCGACTGTTGTGCATTTCCCGTCCTTTCCTTTTCCAAAGGCGCTTTTCATTGCAGTTACCCCATATACACTCCACTACTGCAGAGTGAGCAGGTGTGGGCAGGAAGGACAGACAACTTGCCTTTGGTTTATAGGTTATCAAACCACAGAGATCTAAATACGGATACGGTGGGAAGGCTGAGCACAACCAAGGATCCCAATATCTGAGCTGGATACAGTCAATGCACAGGTCTCATATAATCTCTTCTGGAAGGAACAGGTTCAAAGAGGTGGACACTTGCAAACTGCGAGCTGTCTTCCCAATATCCACTTTCTGTTTCCATGTTAATTGAAATTTCAACTTGCTTATATGCCTACTCAGCTAAAGACAGAATTCCGTCCCTTCCCCAGTACTTAATCTGTCCATGTGATGAACTGAACTGGCCAGTGGTGAGCAGAGAAACAATATGTGCAACTATTCTCATTCTTCTCTTCCTGTCTGTCTGGCTTGAATAGACAGACTGATAGGACCAGGAGCAGCAACTTAGTAGATTATATGTACCGTACTGGGCAATTGTATATACGTTACAGTAATACCTTGGTTTGCGAGCATAATTCATTCCGGAAACAAACTATTCATATTGCAAGACATCACTCGTTTACCACGTTAAAATGTATTAGAAATGTTTGCTCATCTTGCGGAACACTCACAAACCACGTTACTCGCAATCCAAGGTTTTACTGTACTTCATTTTACTCTGTAAGGAAAGTACTTTTATCTTATTTTATACCTGAGAAAATGGATTAACACAGCAAGCCCAGGGCAGAGTCAACCTCTCAAATGATCTCCACTTGAACACTGCAGAGCGTCATTGGACACGACTCCACTTTCAGTATGCATTAGAAATAACTGGTTTAGAATTCTAGGGGCTGACTCTAACATTCTTTAAAGACATTTTTACACATAACAAATTGAAGTGCAAAATCTCCATTCATTCATTCACTCGGTAAGTGTTTGTTGAAACACTGAATAGGTATCATCTAAAACATAAAGGCAGCACATTTTGGTGGTGGTAGTGATTTTTTGTCTTGAAATAATTTTCTGTTTCTTAAATGGCTTGTGGAAATGCAGCCTCAAGCAAAAACTGTATAGGAAACAATAAAATGTAGTGTATTTATTCTATGGACTGAAGTGTGATTTATCTTACAAACCTCTTGGCAATTAATGCCAAGGCAATGTAATTATTTCATCTCATTCCTCAAATTTCCAGTAAATCTTTTTTCCCTTCTTATATCTTATTAGACCCAGGAAATTGAAACATAACAAATGGCTTTCTAATTATCTTATTCTTCATTGTTATATTGTCATGAAACCCCATGAGGACTTACTGAATGATTCAAGTATATTTCAAAACAGTATTATCTCCAGATTCCCCATCTATTGTTTATTCCTGAAGGACTGACATTTATTAATAACTTAATGTGTTCATTATACTAGATCTTTCCAGGTTATCTGAACAAGGGTCCAGATTCATTTACAAACTACTGCCTTTTCCATTCCACTCTCTCACACATTGTACAAATAGACTAAGACACACCATGGGAAATTCCTCAGATGCCTACTGATTGAGTCCATATGCCTTTCCTTCACTCCTATTCTTTTCCTTTTCAGTATTATGTATTCGATTTAGATCTTTTTCCCCCTGCAACGGGGCTTGCTATTCCTCAGAGACACACTCATACAATTGCCAAGGTAAAACCCTCATGTCATCCTATTCCCCATTTGAATGTTTCAGATAGACGTAAGAAAAAGATCTACCTTCATCTTCATCTTCCATTTGGGCTTTGGCCTCTCTCGAATACATGGCTCTTCGAAGAGTTTTCCTCTCTAAAGTTGTTTGGTCAGCTTCCATATCCTACAGCAAACATCATGCTATCATTCAAGGAGCTCAGAGCCATAGGAAGGCTTTGACTTACTTATCAGTGACCCAACCCACACATACCGATAATTAGTTACCTTTACCAGTCTGGGCTCTCTGCTCCCTCTAGAGATCACAACTCCTGTTATAGGAGCGGTGGTGGGGCAATGCCTGAGGTTTGTAGGAAGTACTTCAGAGCTAAGATGTGCAGAGCAGGAAGAAGCCCGAAAGAGTAGTAAGGATATGATGGAGCTGACCCCGGTGGGGGGCGGAGCGGGGGGTAGACACCTCCCCCAGCCATAAAGCAGAATTCCACTACTGACACTTATTTAATTTTACATCACTTTCTCCCTGTAATTTCTCTGACTAAAGATTTACTTATATTAATAAATATCTTCCTTTAAAATACATGTAGTTCTAAACTTGTTGAAGCACTATACCAGTTATCCACTGTTATGCATTACTAAATCAGAATGAGTTTCTTTCGCATCTCACTAAGGTAGCTAGCTGCACAACAGAGAGGGACTTCAACAGAAATTGAAGGAACAGAGGTAATTTTGAAGCAAATGGGAAATGAGGGTACCTAGGTGTCTAGTAGTTTAGAGAAAAGACCTAGGAGGGAGATATACGCAGAAAGAGGGGCGGGGGGGAAGGTGCCAAAACCAAACTGCAAATGTTTAAGCATTGATCCTGACTTGTCCTGTGCTCAAGAAACGGAAAACATTTTGTTTTCTCCACTCCTCTGTTTCCAACACCCCTGCCCTCCCCCAGCCTTCCAAACTGGAGTAGCACTGTGTTACATTGTAAGTTAAATCAGCTTCTGCAGGACATTCTGGGAAACTAACCATATCCTTTTTCTGTGGGGAAATGCATTCTGAGTTCCAAACAACAGGCCCACAAGCTTTTGGAATCTATGATAATTTGAGGATTTCCTGTATATGCTGGTACAAAAAAAAAGAATCACAGATTGTTACACCAACAAACCAATAAACCTTTGAAGTGATCAGTCTCTAGGCAGTGATTTTGGTTTGGGGTTTATTTATTTATTTAGCCTCATATAACACGTGTGATTCAGGAGACTTGCTATTCTAAAAGGCTCTATTGCTTCCAGATTTTTAGTGAAAAAAGAGTAAAAGTGAAAGTGTCTCCTAAATAGTATTTTTTCAGAAACAACTTCACATCAGCTATTAATTTTGCCTAGTGATATGAAAACATTTGTATATGAGATGAGGTAAAACATAAAATTAAAGAACACTGATACTTTGGGAATAGTATAATGAAATAAAATGAACCTGCACAATGAAAAATATAATATTTGGGTCTTGTTCAACCTCCACACTGTGTGAGCCAAAGATAAAACATCTCGTAGACATTTAAAAACAAAATCTTTAAAATAATTTTTCTTATGAGTAAATACTCATATTAGGGTCACAACAAGTTAAATATTTTAAATTGTGTTGATATTTGGATTAAGTAAATATGAATTGAGTTTCATTTATCCAATAAATATTTATTGAATGCTTGTATGGGTCAGGTCAAGTTGAGGATTGGGGGCTGAGGAAGGAAACATCAAATGATGCTAGTTTGTTTTGCTTAATAACATAAAGATAATGGTTGACGTCATCCAAGGTAGAATTTTTAATAATATTTAAATCAGCTGGAAGGTTATCTCCTTCTCCCTTGCAGAGTTTTCATTGCTATCGTTTTGACACATTCCTTTCTGTTTAACCCTTAACAGTTTAACAGTTCTGTCTAAAGCTCTGTGACAGAATGTTTTGTGGGTCTTTTAGTTTCTTTCACCTTCCTCCTCTGCTTGCTTGCTCTGTTCTAGCTCTAGGCCGGCCTTTCTCAGTCTTGGCACTATTGCCACTTTGGGCTAGATAAGTCCTTGTTGTTCGGGCTGCCCTGTGCATTGTGGGATGTTTAACAGCATCCCTGTCTTCTACTCACTAGAAGCCAGTACCGTTTACCCCCCAGTCATGACAATCAAAAATGTCTCTAGATCTTGCCAAATGTCCCCTAGATGGCAAAATCAACCTTATAATTGAGAACCAGTGCTCTAGGCAAACGCCCAATCCTGCCACGTAACTTAAACAAGAAGTTGTTGCTACAAACACTTCCCCAAGGTGTTCTAGTGGTCTTGTCCCCACAGTGTGACTCACCCTGGCTTCAATAAATTCAGGTGCCTGTCCTCCCCTAGGTGGCAGTACCCTCCCTTCACCCCCAGGTGAGGAATCTGGGCACTTCCATGGTTCATTCTGGATTCTATTGGCCACCATTCCACCTTACAACTGGATTCACCCTGTCCACACCCCCCTCAGCTGATTTAGAACCCTGTAATATATCTTTAATTATAGAGCTATGGTACCTCTAGTGATTACTTCATTTCTAAATACAACTTAATGCACTTTCTTCCTGGCTTGCTTAATAGTAATACTTAGTAGTATTAGTACAAAATCAAGCCAACAGCTAGTTAGCTCACTCGTGCGTGCGCGCTCTCTCTTTCTCTCTCTCTCTTTCTGATTTCTGGGGTTTTGTGAGAATTAAATGAGATTGTGTAAAAAATGCTTCAAAGTGGGCTTTAAAAGTATACAAATGTAAAATTTTGTTGTATTACTTTCTGATCACCTTCCTCCACCCTTAACTCTATCCCATGCATGTTTTACAACTTCACCCACAGCTCACAGATCTTCCTTTTTACAAAATTATCTTGGATTTTGTTTTGCCCATGACCTACCCCCATTAGTAGGTGTTGAATAAAACTATTCTCACATTACAGATGAGAAAAATAAGACTAAGGATATACCACCCTTAAGCAAGGAGTTTGCTTAAGTTTTAAGCATACAATAATTGCAATATAGTTCAAATTCAAATGAAAATCCTCTAAAAACCTGACAATACTTCATCCAAAAGATATCACTGAAACTTTATAGTTCCAAAGTAGCCTATTTGTTAATGCCATATAAATATACACTTACTTTGGATTTTAAATAAGAACTATTATCAAATATTAAATTTAAATACTTTTTTGCAATTTTTTTTTGTAATTATATAGTAGATTTCTGACTCTTCTTAACTGGACTCTGAACTCTTCTAAACAATGAGCAATTACCTTTTCTAACTCTTGATCTTGCCGATTCATAAGTGTTTTCCAGTGTTCATAGAGCTCAACGTCTTTGGTTTGAATGTCCTTCAAAGTCCCTTCTCTTAGGACACTCCCATCTTTCATGGCTATGATCTAAGGAAAGCACATATTAGCAGAACTGTGACAAACACCCTTATTGGGCCAAATTAATTACCTTTAACTCGGACAGCATTTCTCAGTGTTCTTATTTAGTTATATGGCTATAATATAAAAATCAATAAAACTTCTTCTAAACACTCACCCAGTCAGCATGTGTTAGATACTGTAATTTATGGGTCACAAGAACGAGTGTCCTCTTGTCGTCTTGGAGGAATTTCAATATCCCCTCCTGCATTAAGTGATCACTCAAGTGAATGTCCAGGGCAGAGAATGGGTCATCCTACAACCAGTAAAACGGAAAGGAGATAACAACTTTCTTTACTCTTTATGTAACTTAATTCCTCTAGAAAGCAGAAATACAAGTAACAAAGAAAAAATTGTCCCTCAAATCCAATTTAAAAAAAAAAAACAGATTTCATATAACTTTAAATTATCAGAAAAATTAAATTAAAATGAAAGATTTTATTTTCTCTTTCACCTTAATTTTTTTAAAGTAAATAATATTTAAAGTGGTTTGAATTCTTCTATATATAAAATATTCAAGTTCAAAAACCAACATTTCTTGACAACCTTTAACAATAAACTAAAACAAAGAGTGAAATGATAATTGGAGGACCTGAATTTTAGATGATAAAAACAGGCATAGACTCTGGACCAAGATGGCAACATGGGAGGCTCCCGAATTTCCTACCAACGATGGAGCTTTTATAAGACACAGGCTTTAGACTCTGACCTTACAGATTATAATTCAATAGGTCTAGGGTGGTACTGAGATTTCTATGGTTTTTAGGAAGCCTCACAGACAAGCCTTATCCACAGCCTCAATAGCTCACCACTGGAATGGAATACTATGCTTACTTACCCCTATGTCCACCAAGATTGTATTTCCTAGAACTTCTTTTTTGCTAACAAATATAAATGAGAAGACCTATAATCTTGTCCAGCACCATCCACACTCCCCCATTAATGATCCTCATGGTTAAGAAACTCATAACCATGTGGGCATCTCAGTCTCTTGGCTGTCAATCCCAGCATCCCCCAACTCTCAACCTTACCTGGTCTGATTTATACTGTGAGAATTTGTTTCCCCTATATTCTCTATGATTTCACAAGTAAAACCAGCTTTCCTTGAGTTACTTGACTTGTCTCTTTAGAGATTCACTGGTCCAGAAGGAAAAATGAAGTCAACATAAAAGTAAAGGCCACATCCTTACCAAGAAGACAATGTTGGTATTTTGATAGAGAGCTCGTGCCACACAGATTCTTTGCCTCTGACCCCCACTCAGGTTAATGCCCTAGAGAAGAAACATCCATAAACATCTACCTTTTCCATTAGTAAATGATCTGTTGGTTAAAAAAATTACCTGTAAATACAAACTTCTCTAAAAAAAAAAAATCTTTAAAATTATGGTAATTTACTAATGAAACTGTGATAACATTGATAAGATAAAACGAAAGCTATCTACTGGTCAATACCTAAATTATATTAAGGAATTTTTGGCTGATAATGTTAATCCTTCTTTCACTCTGATGAGAGCTCTGTTGTACAGAAGCATTAATAACCAAAACACTGGGTGAGTGCTGAAGGCTGAAAGCAATTCCACATTTTTTCTCATTTTTGTGAATTGTGTCTGTAGTGTACTTAACATATACCTCTTAAATTTGCTCTTACAAGTTTTGTTCAATAGAACTCTGCAGCAATATACTTTTATAATCAAATGTGAGTTATATATTTAAAAACTAGCACAGTAAGTCCTCATTTAACGTCATCGTCATCATTCCTGGAACTGCCGCAAAACAACATATAACAAAATCAATTTTACCACAGGATAATTGATATAAACAAAAGTTAAGTTCCTATGGCACCTCAACATTATAACAAAATGACACTGAATGAAACAATGTTATTCCAGGACCTGCTGTATTCATTGAGCACTTAGCATGTGTCAGAGTTATGTGAATGGTTTTACATTCCTCATTTTTTTATCCTCATAGCAATTATAATATGTAGGTACTATTATCCTATAAAATATGTAGGTACATATTTTACACATGTAGAAACTGAGACTCTGAGAAGTTAAGTTCATGCTCTTAAATACCATATACTTGTACACTATGCAGCAATAAAGAAGAGTCATTAGAAATGCAGACTAGAGAATCGGACTAATTCCAGCTGCACCGCAAATTCTGTGATTGGGCCCTTAACCTCTCTCAGCCTTCATTTTCTCAGCTTCAACACACAAATAACAATAACACCCGTATACGAGATTTTTTGTGAAATGTAGATAGTACATATAAAACCTTTTGCCCAATACTTGACACCCATAAGGGATTAAATTTTTGGCAACATTGTTATAAAGATTACATACAGGTATAAATATTTTTCAGCCAGGCAGAATAGTACAATGCCGATGAAAAACATGTTTACACAAAGAAAACAAGAACACTTTAACAAGAATAAATCGATGTTGACAAGAGTGGAAGAAGTTGTCAGAAGCAATCTCTGTTTCCAAATCAACTCAAAGTAAACTCCAAGTAAGCAAAAATAAATCTGATCATTTTCCTTGAGAACTCTCGAGTGGCCAGGACAATGTTAAGTATATGGTGATTACTCAACAAACACTTAAGGGAGAGTGGCATCAAAGAGCGCCTCTCTTCCGGTTTCTGGAACTTGTTACTAGGACAACACACACATCCTAAACTCTCAGGCTTTATTATGCTTCATTAAAGGTTAAAGACACCAAAAAGACTTTTCTAGATTTTTGTTCATCATTTAGTTAAACTAGCCATAGCTCACCCTCTCTCCAATTTCAGTTTGGTCTCCAAATGGTAGTAAGTCAATATCTGGCTGAAGAGAACAGGCATCTGTGACAGCTTTATACCTTTAGGAGAAATGATTTTCAGTTTTTAGAACACTATTAATATCCTGCCCATAAACTAAGTCCCAGGTTCAATATCTTAGAAGCTGAAATACAACAGCTACTGGAACAACATTTATTGAGCAATTGTATATATTAGCCTGTACACTAGGTTTATGGATACAGAGATAAATAGATATTGGTTCCTACTCTTACAAAGCTGGTAAATGGCGCACGAGACTGATACAGAGTGATACAATAAAAATGTCCCTGGTTAGGTGCTCTAGCAGAAGCAGGCACCAAGTGCTCCTGGAATACGTAGGAAGAAATGGCTGACCACTCTGAGAAGTTAGTAACATCTCTGCAGAGGAAGCAGTGTGTAAACTGCATCCAGCAAGATGAGTCATAACTTGCCAGAAAGAAAGTGAGGGAAAGGAAGCTTAAAAAAAAAACTACACTGGGCTGGCCGAGTGGTGCATTGGTTAAGAGCTGGCTTGGGACACCAGCTCTGAGCAGCAGGGCCGCGGTTCAGATCCCATATGAGGGCCAGTGACGCTGCCCTCTACAGCTAAGATGCTGAACAACAGCTCGATCTGGAGCTGGGCTGTCGTGAGTCGCTGGCAACGGCGTAGGCTGCAGCCCCTGCTGCAGTAGGCTGCCTTAAGCTACCATGAGTGGCTGGAAGCCAGTGTGAGTGGCCGGCAGCCGGTGTGGGATGCCAAGAGCCACTATGAGTGGCCGTCCAGAGACTGGCAATCCATCTGCCTCACTTGGGAAGAGCACAATGATAATACCAACATGGGCCAGTGAAGCAACGTCCTCCACAACTAGACTGAAGAACAAAAGGATACCAGCTTGTCTGTTCCCCTTTCCCCGATTCCTCAGTGCTGTCCCCCTTCTTCAATTCCCCAATAAAATCTTTAAAAAAAAAAAACAAAAAAAACTGCACAAAAAGTAGAAGAGTTCATGGTGCATATGAGGGCCACCAGGAGGCGCGCCGGGAGTTAACGCCCAGTGGGTATTATGTAAGTGGGTATCTGTGCAGACTATCATGCGTGCTGACAGGAGACAAAGCGGACAGTGATGAGGACTGACAGTACTCCAACTGGACTGGGCATCAGGTGGATTGGTAAAATAGGGAAGTATAGAGATGGAAAGTGCTGGGGAAAATACCAATGGTTTCATTTTCTCAATCACCTAGTCCTAAAATATTCAGGGCATTTTTGATGCTTCCCCTTCTTCTCCCTGCTCTTAGTTGTCCATTCTTATTCTAGAATGATATTTTTTCTATCAATCACCTCTTCTTGTCCATTTCTACCAGCTCCCCTCAGAGGTAGGCAACAAACACTTCATGCCTGGATAATTATTCCAACAAACTTCTATTAATAAATGTCTCCTTGCTCCTCATTCAGATCCATCCCATATATCTCTGCCATGACACTGCCAGGTGGAACGTCACATTTACCTTATTATTTCTCTTTCTAAAACGTGCTGTGCTTCTCTAGAATACCCACAATTATGTCCAGTCGGCTTTCAAGGCCCTCCACTACTTTGTCTCGTCATTCCTTTACAATCTAGTTTCCCACTTGTTGATATCCCCCAATCCCTTTTTGCCTGATTTGTTTCCAGGCCCCAGGTGACACCATGTCATTTTGGTTCTTCCCACACTGTCTGTTTCCTGTTCTTGTCCCCTTCCTCATGTCTCTCCCCTGACCTAATTCACCTCAACTTTCAAGACCCAGCTTAGGGTCTTAAGACCTACCCTTTTGAAGGTGGCTTAAAGAAAAGATCATACCTTTGTACATTCATTCCAGTGATATTTAAAAGATGAGTGAAAGATGGCATATTCTGGCTGCCCCCAGTCACTAGATGCCCCCAGATCCCAATTTTCATCTTATTTCCAGAGTTAACCATTCTTATGTTCCTTACTTGGGTTTTTCCTTCTGCTTACCAGTAATCTCATCACTGTCACCACCAGCAGCCCTCCCCACCTCACACACACATACACACAAACATCATTGTCTGCTGTTTAGTTTTGGTGTACAAATTGTTTTCAGTAAGCATACAGAATGGGCTTAAGCTTCCAATTTAGCTTCTCTTAAAAGAGTTGAATCAAAAGATCTGGTGATGAGGTTGGAAGTAGGGCAAGCAGGGACAAAAAGAATTCCCAATGTAAAGATTCCAGACACCATGGACCAAACAAAAGGATTAGAAATAGTTGCTCGTTTTAGTTCTAAATTTTATACATTCAAAATTACCTCTGCTTGTTGAAAGGACTTCCAAAGGTAATATTTTCTTCTACTGTAGCATTTAATAGCCAAGGCTTTTGAGCTGCATAAGCCACAGAATACCTGCTCCTACTGTAAAATGGAAAAAAAACCAAAAACACCAAAATTATGCAAGGATGCTACACTGTATGTGTATTTTAGTGTAATTAAGTAAAATAAAAGTGATAAAATGTCTCAAACACAGAAATGGAAAACTTCTGAAAGAGAACATTTTAACAACCCCCAACCTTATTAATTAATGGTTAAATATACTACCTAAAGGGAATAGAATTTAATCAAAATGTCACACAATGTGCAAAATTTGATTTTGCTATGCTGCAGAAGTGTTTTCAGGTAGAAACTATAACTGAAATTTTATTTTCTAAAATAAGTATAATTTTTAAAATAATTAAAAGATTAATAATTCACTCTCATTGTCAAAGAAATTTTACTTTATGTAACTATGAATTTTCTGTACAGACTTTAAAAAATGATGTGAATTGATACTATAATTATAATATGTGTTTGTGGCTTAGTCAAATCAACATATTTTAAGGTAATAGATAATACATAAATATTTTAAAACAAAGAATAATATCTTGAGGAGTCCATTTTAATATTGAAATAAGTACAAAACTAGAAACTATGTATTTCAGTACAGATTGAAATAGGTTTTTGCTAAAATGATAACCCCTTGCTCCATTTTTGGGCTTGCAAATTCTATTGGATGTCTATATATGAGACTTCAATTTGCAATAATTGGGAAAATGCATGTGAGCTAAAGATAAAGAAAATGATGGGACTGGGGTAGGGAAGGGGTCAGCTTAAAAATCATACTTCCAGTTAGTTCATTGTCTTTAAGTACTAATTAAGGAATTAAGGTTAAAAGAAAGTAATATTAAGGAAAAGAATAGTTAGAAATGCTCCGTGATCATCCTGAAACATTATGTCTGGGGGTTTAGAAAACATGATTAATATATAGTATGGTAGTAGTCCCTTACATCACCAGATGTGCAGTAAAAACAGTGGTTCCCAACTTCTGACATCTGCTTCCCCTCCCCGCAAGCCTTTTAAATGTTTTTTTTTCTTTTTTAAATACATAAAGCACTTGGCTCTCCATCTCTACTTTATTCACAGGTTCTATCACTGTTTAACTCATAAACAATATACATATTGATTCTTATATTTTTATTTTATGAAATCCCAAACCCAATTTGCTACATTGAGTTTCAGCCAAAGTTGACACACAGGTGACTCACTGAGGGGAAAACACTTGACACAATCGGCCATTTTGTTTGGGAAATTCATTCTTTTAGCAGCCTGCAAGTATTGGGAACCACTGCTATTGGAAATATACTAGCCCATTTTAATAAATAACTTTATACATCATCAGCATGAACAAATGACTAGGAGTAAGAGATGGAGTATTAAGTAAAGTCTGAGAAAGGAAGTTATTCTTATTAAATGCAGATTAAAGTAGAAATAATACCTTCTGGTTGCTTCAAAAGAAGGGTCAGATTCATTTACACTGCAAGTATGGCAAACAATGTTCATTAATTATGAAACGTAAATATAGAATGACTGTCTGCACATATCAGGTAAGAGATAAAATAAACATTAAACATTTTAATAGTTACATTTCCAAAATTGTTTTAATATTAAAAGACAAATCAAATATAGTCTTCTTTTATGTCTTCATTGTGCAGGAAATAATAAGTATGCATAAGCTTTCAAAAGATAGATAGTACTGTTTGTTCTCTTTATTTTATTTTTTTTTTGTTTCAGGTGTACAAAGCAATGTAAATGGTTAGACATTCACACCCTTCACAAAGTGATAACCTCCCCTCATCTACTACTCCTCTGACATCGTATATAGCTGTTATAATACCATTGACTATATTCCCTATGCTATTCTCCACATCCCATGACTACACACACTCTCTCTCTGTCTCTCTCTCTCTCAAGGTCTGACAATTAAGTTTGCAAACTTGTTGCAATGATGTTGCTAACCTTCTTTGATATCCTAGGGATTATTCATTAAAATTTTGTACCAACTGGACAAACAGTTAACCAAGTTTACTATTTGGAAGTGCTGAAAAGGCTGCGTGAAAAAGTTAGACCACCTGAACTTTTCGCCAACAATTCATGACTCTTGCATCACGACAATGCACCAGCTCACACGGGACTCTCTGTGAGGGAGTTTTTAGCCAGTAAACAAATAACTGTATTGGAACACCTTCCCTAGTCAC